GTCGAAGAATTTTTATTTTTGGGTGGTGACTTTAACTGCACATTGTCAAACTTGGACAGGAATCATATTGAACCTCACTTGCCCTCTCGTAATCGTTTGGTTCAGCTTGTTAAAATGCATGAGCTTTGTGATGTTTGGAGGCAGCTTCATGAGACACAAAAACAATATACTTGGACTCATGTTCGTGATAGTGTGATTTCACTTGCAAGATTAGACCGTTTCTATGTTTTAAAGCATCACTTTAACATTGTAAGAAAATGTTCAATTACTCCACTGTGTTTTTCTGATCACAGTATGGTGCAGTGTTCTGTGTTTTTAAACTCCATTAAGCCAAGGAGTGCATACTGGCAGATAAATACCACTTTGTTAAGTGACAAGTACTTTAAAAGTACATTTAAGCTGTTTTGGGATGAGTTCAGAACCATAAAGGGGTCTTATAATTCTCTACGACAGTGGTGGGATTTTGGGAAAGCCCAAATAAAGCAGTTCTGTATGCAGTATACTCGAAACGTCACTAGAGAGATAGATGTGAGTATGAACACCTTGGAGACCGACATTTTAAAACTTCAAGAATTAGTTGAGTCAACTGGTGGTCAGGGTTATCTAGATTCTTTGTCAAACAAGAGGACACAGTTGGCTGATTTACTGGGCATTAAAACACAGGGGGCGCTGGTCAGGTCGAGGTTCCAGAGTGTGGATCAAATGGATGCTCCATCCAGGTTCTTTTTTAACTTGGAGAAAAAGAACGGTCAGAGCAGAGTCATTCATGCTCTGCGCTCCGAGTCTGGAGGATTATTGACAAACCCTGCAGACATTCGAAAGAGAGCGGTCGGTTTTTATGAAAACCTGTATAAAAATGAGATTGGGGTGGAATACAGGAGTGACAGTGATTTTTTTAACGATCTACCCCAGGTGTCTGAGGAGGTCAATACTGAAATCTCTGGTGCTTTGAGCATGGCTGAACTGTACAAGGCCCTCCAAGGAACGGAGTCTGGAAAGGCGCCGGGCATTGACGGTCTGCCAGTAGATTTTTACAAGTCTTTCTGGTCAGAACTAGGAGAGGACCTTCTGGAGGTTTTGAATGAAAGCTTGGCTGAAGGCCAGCTGCCTCTGAGCTGCCGTAGAGCAGTACTAACCCTCCTGCCCAAGAAAGGCGACCTTGCAGATATAAAGTGCTGGAGGCCCGTATCACTACTCTGCAGCGACTACAAACTGCTCTCGAAAACGCTGGCTAACAGGTTGGCAGGAGTGATGGATGGTGTCATCCATCCTGACCAGACCTACTGTGTTCCCGGTAGGTCAATATTTGACAATATTTCATTGATTCGTGATGTTATAGAGGTCTCCAAGATGTTAAATTTAGATTGTGGGTTAATCTCTTTGGATCAAGAGAAAGCTTTTGACCGTGTTGAGTTTTGCTATTTGTGGAGAGTTTTAGAGGCTTTTGGGTTTTGTCAAAATTTTATAAATCATATTAAAGTTCTTTACAGTGGCGTTGAGAGTATTCTCAAAGTGAACGGTGGTTTATGTGCTCCTTTTAAAGCTCTTAGAGGTGTAAGGCAGGGGTGCTCAGTGTCTGGAATGCTCTACTCTTTGGCAATAGAGCCACTTTTACAACAGATACGGGTAAAACTTCATGGTATATGTTTGCCAAACTGTAAAAATAACATGATACTTTCAGCTTATGCCGATGATGTCATAGTAATGGTTAATAGGCAAAGTGACATACAGGTTTTGTTAGGTTTACTTAATGTTTTTAAAGGTTTATCTTCTGCAAGTGTAAACTGGAGCAAGAGTGAAACTTTATTATTAGGTAAATGGGGAGGTGGGAGACCACCAGATCTCCCTGAAGGTTTAGGTTGGGGAAAATCAGGGTTTAAATACTTAGGAGTGTATCTTGGTGATGATGTTACAGTGAAAAAAAATTGGGAAGGAGTCATTGAAAAGGTTAAAGGTCGTCTGGATAAATGGAGATGGTTAACTCCAAAGATGTCATATAGAGGGCGTATTTTAATTATAAATAATTTAGTTGCTTCTTCACTGTGGCATAAGTTTGCATGTATTGATCCTCCCTCACATCTTTTAGCGAAAATCCAGACAATTTTGGTAGATTTCTTCTGGGATAAATTGCATTGGGTCCCACAGAGTGTGTTATTCTTGCCTAAGGAGGAGGGTGGACAGGGGCTAATACATCTTCACAGCAGAATCGCAACTTTTCGGTTGCAACTCATACAAAAACTACTTGTTGGGTCAATTGAATATAAATGGTGTTCTGTCGCATTTGTTATTTTACGTAAACTTGAGGATCTGGGTTTGGAAAAAACAATTTTTTTTCTGGACCCTACAAAATTGAACACTTCTGGTTTACCAGTGTTCTATAAGAACCTTTTTAAGGTTTGGAGTCTTTTTGTTTTTAAAAAAGCAGAGGTTTCACAGTCACTTCATTGGCTTTTGGAAGAGCCTCTAGTTCGTGGAGCACGTCTGGATGTGTCTGCTGGTGGCCTTTTCCCAGGACTTAACAAAACACTCATTGACAGTAAAACCACCACTTTGAGGCAATTACTGGAAATAGCAGGACTTGATTTTAAGAATGAAGAAGCAACGGCTCAACATCTGGGAATTAGATCAACCCGTCTAGTTGCGCAGCTATTGGTGAAATGGCAGACGCTTCTCAATACAGCAGAAAGAACTTTGTTGACTGAGTGCCGTGATGGTCTCTGTAAATCAAATCCTGAAGACTCTTTTCCTTGTTTGTTTCTTTCTTTGAACCTAGAAGAGGTTTCTGGAGTGTTTTTAGAAAGTTTTGATTCATTGTGTGTAGACTTTTTTTTCTTGTACTGGGAAAACTTTGTATAAGTATTGTGTCATTATGTTTAACAAAAAAATGCTAGATAAAAAAAGAGATACCCCGTGGCGTGACTTTTTTACATTGAATGTGGACAGAAAACCTGAGTGGAGAGCACTTTATAAACCACCGTTGACGAAAAAAGCAGGTGACTTACAGTGGAGAATTCTTCACGGCGCTGTCGCCGTCAATGCTTTTGTTTCAATTTTAAATTCTGAGGTTGATACTCAATGTCCTTTTTGTACTGAAAGGGAAACCATTTTTCATGCATTTGTGAACTGTGCAAGATTAAAACCTTTATTGTTGCTTTTAGAAAGTATTTTTCAGAGGTGTAATGAAACTTTTTCGACAGTGTTATTTATTTTTGGTTTTAAATATGTGTTGAAAAATAGATTTGTATGTCAGTTGTTGAATTTTGTGTTGGGCCAAGCAAAGTTGGCTATTTATACTAGTAGAAGAAGGAAAATTGAGCAAAATTCTGAGCAGAATGTAGTTGCTATGTTTTCAAACATGTTGAAAGCTAGGATACTAATTGATTTTGCTTTTTACAAGCATATGGATGATCTCATTGCCTTTGAAGACATTTGGTGTTGCAATGAGGCATTGTGCTCTGTATTTGAAGGTGACTTGTTTTTTGCACAATGATTGAGAGTTGGAGCTGCTCTTAATATTTATGCATATTGTATTGTAAATACACTGTGAAATGATTTTGTAATAAAAGTTTGTTAAAATCAAAATCTCTCTCTCTCTCTCTCTCTCTCTCTCTCTCTCTCTCTCTCTCTCTCTCTCTCTCTCTCTCTCTCTCTCTCTCTCTCTCTCTCTCTCTCTCTCTCTCTCTCTCTCTCTCTCTCTCTCTCTCTCTCTCTCTCTCTCTCTCTCTCTCTCTCTCTCTCTGAACTGGAATTTAGTATGTTGATGTTAGAATGTTCATGTTTCTAATGGCGTATTTTAATTCAACACACATTAGCTTAAACATACTGCATGCAAAATTGTGAAAATGGTTATTTTAATTTCTTTTAAATTTTATTTAACATGTTTCATTACAAAATGACATTTTCATTACAAAAATGAAAATGACCAGTACATTTTTCTGTTCAGTTTACAAAACCTCAACCCAAAAAATGCAACAAGAAATTCAAAATACAGGTAAAACACATGTGAAAACACACAGAAAATTCATTCATACATTCATGGTACATTAAGCCCTATTTCTGCTGACTTACAATAGGTATTATCTGTATTTAATGTAAATATTTCATTACAAATATTAGTTTGTAATGTAATACATTTTCATTACAAATTATAGTATCCATAGATTTTTTTAAACAAATGTTATAATTTAAAATGGCCAGTTTTTAATTTAATACAAATGTTTTCATAAATTAGAATATCAATATTTAAATTATGCATTTTTATAATATCATATCATAATTTACAGTCTCTGACAAATCGGTTAAAAACAAGTTAGACAATTTAAAACAAATACACGAAAAAAAAGGTATCTGTACAAAGTTGAAGTTGATAAGAATGATAAATGTCACAAATTTACTGTTTTGATTCATGACTTAAACAGCGAAAAATAATCTTTAATTGTATTGTATTTATTTATTTTCTAAACATGACGAGAATTCTTAATGTTTCTGTTTTCATCCAGTTTTAATTGGTAATATAGCCTATATAATATCAGATTTCCAATGGTCTAACTCTAAATGCAATGAGACCCACAGACCTAAGCTCTGCCTGGAATACTCCATCTACATGTACAACAAAGAAACAGCAACAATGTCACATGCACAAAACATAAGTATGCTGTAATGCCTGTGGAATAGAGAAAGGGGGGATGGGGCGAGCCTCTTTTCTCTTTCTCTTCCATCTGACTGTGAGTGAATGAGTGCTTAGGCTTTCAGAGCTGCTCAAGTGATCACAATAATCTAAAGAGAAAAAAAGACACAGAGGGTGAATGGGAGGGAGGAGAGATGCTCACTGCGTGTCTTACAACGCCCACCTGCTTCTGTTGTGACATAATGACAGCTGAGAGAGAGAAAGAGAGACTAGCTGGAGGATATAGTACTGGATGAACGGAGGAGAGAAGGGGAGGAGATAGGAGGGGAGGGAGGCTGGAAAGGGGAGGGGGTTTGTGTATGTGTGTGGAAGAGAGAGACAGAGAAGCGACAGACGGAAGGGGCGGCAGCCGGAGGAAGAGTCACAACGAAAGGATCAGTAAGGCAATCTTCTGAGAACGACAGATCCAGAGACACAGAAAACAGAGGAGAAGACGGAGCCAGAGGTAGGCTGCTCTTTTTTATTACGTTCATTTGCTTCATTATACCGGAGCCAAACACGAAGCAAGACCCAGCATGCACTGCACGAGATCGTGCGTGCGATTGTAAATGTGTTTTGGTGATTATCTCCTCTTTTTTTTCTCTCTGAGCCAATCAGTGGGATATGTGCAAATCAGCACTGCACTGCAGATGAAGGAAGAGAGAGAGAGAGAGAGAGAGAGAGAGAGAGAGAGAGAGAGAGAGAGAGAGAGAGAGAGAGAGAGAGAGAATACTGATGCTTTCACAAAACGTGCACACCTGTTTCCATTATTGATTGCAATTGTCCATCTATGTTCATTGTTTGTGTAGGGTGCATGCATTCATTCCTCTATGTGTTGCACATGGTAGTGCAACAATGTAAGTGAAACAGAATTAGGTCACTGCGAGTTGAATTCTAATGTCGGGATCTGTTTGGAGGTGGGTGCAGGAATAAAGAACCGCTATTTGTGCCATAATGGTACATGTTTGAGTTTGGTTCATGCCAACAGGCAGTTGTTTTTGTTTTTGTTTGTTTGTTTTTTTTGTTCACTTTTGTAACAATCAGACACACAAATTTATTTCCATGAACGAAAAAAAAAGAAACAGGAAGAAGAAAAAATCGTGTAATACCTAGTTGAACTATTATTTAACTTTCTCTTGCAAAATAATTAGTCTAACAATACTGAGTACAGCCTCCAGACAATTTATATTCCTCAGATGATTGAATGTTTTCCTGGATCATCTTCAAATAGTTCAAACTGATGTTTCTTTGTGTTGTGACGGCTGACCTTTTACCCCAAGGTCAGATTATTATTCATGAATCCCATTTGGCACTATGAAATCTCCCCCTATTTGTCATAAACATGCACCACTTTCATCTTCAGAGGCTCTAAAGACTTTACGAATAAGGATTCACTTGTTGGCATAATATTGTTCTAGATCAATGGTTCTGAGCAAAGTTGAGAACGAGATGACTTAAAACGATCAAATTATACATACAAAATAAATAATCCTTATAGTTTTAATGCTAAAAACAAACCAAATCTAATTTTGTTCCCCTTAATAACAACACTCACAATTTCTGTTCATAAAAAAAGTTAGATAACAAGTGTGTTGGTTATCTAATCAATCAGTCACTAAGCTACTAATTACATATTCAACAGTGTGATTAGATTACTCTTCTAATATTATTAATAAATCATTGCATTACTTATTACTTTCTAAATCCCATCAACCTCAACCAGTTGAACAATATAGACATGAAACTGCTCTTTTAATTATTTCAAATAAACGCTATTAAGTTATTCTTGAGCTGACCAAAGTATTTCAAGGGAGTTTACATAAAGAAAACATAGATTTTGTCATTAGAAGTTAAATCAGCTATCATTTTTTTTAATTTTTTTTATAAAGAATTGTTCTTTATATTACAGTTCTTTATATTTTTTATAACAGAAAAATGAAGCACAGTCCTTTACATTACTTTGTCAAGGAAAAAGTAAATAAATTACAGTAATTAATTACTTAGTAACACATTACACCCAACTATGTTGATAACAAGCAGCATAATCATAATATCATAGGAAATGTTGAATATTCAAATATTGCATTGGACAATGGGGGGCTTTTAGTCAAAAAGGACATACAAATCAGGATTACAAAAGGACTTGCACTTTGTAATTTGACTTTGCAATTTGTATCTTAAATTGTCCAGGTCAAAATGTGATGCTTTATCTCAGACCTTACTTTGCCTTCCCAGATTCATCACCAGCACAGATCAAAATTCATCCTGAGGGATATAAAAACTCCTCTAACAATCATGTACATGCTTTTATCTCTGTCTGTGAAAACCTATCTATTTAGATAACCTGATCAACATCCCTACACCATTATACCAGTTTAAAGGAGCAGTTTCCCAGCTGCCCTTAGACTGTGTAAGCAGTGTAAGCAAACAATTCATTGTGATTTTTGTTAATACGCTTCCCATCAGTCACCAGGCACAATAACTGAAGTTAAATTAAGAGTTTTGTGTGTGCGTCTGACATTGTTTAAAAAACAGGATGTCCCGCCCCAAACTCAAACCATTGGATGAGCAAGAATTTGGCAAAATGTTTGATGGTGCAACAGAGTCTGTGTTTCACTTTTTTGGGATAGCCTTCACTCAAAAAAAATGAACTAGGGAGGTTGTGCACTTTACATAATATATTTATATAGTTTACTTATAATAATTGTGTTTTTTGACTTTAAATGTTTTTTTTCTATTAAGGTCTATGTAATTGTGTCTCAACTTAACAGTACAAAATCCTAATGTGTTGTCTAAACACAAACCATTTATGTTAAGTAAAACATTTTGTACATCCAGAGGGTGGCAGTATAGTGCGAGCCGACTGCCATTTTTCCCGAACTTAATTTTATTGTGTTCAATCTGCTTAAATCTATGAACAACTTAAGTTTACTTAATCCGTTTGTGTTGGATTACATGATTGATTTGTGTCGCATTGACTGAAACTGGGCGGTGCTTTTAGTTCCCAGCATGCTTTGCATATGGTTGAATTAAGAGAGAATAAATGTTAAAATTAAGTGTTATTTTATGGTGGTTTTTTTTGGGAGAAATTTAGAAAAGGGGAAGACATGATAGTGTGTAATAGTGTTTAATGTTAAATTACATTGGAATTATTAAACCATTTAAATTACAGTGGGTTACCATTGTGGAGATGAGTGGAGCATTTTGTTAGTCTGTCGACTTATTTCATTATTTTCTATTGCTTTGAATGAAGGAGCATGTAAATCTTAGCATTCAAGATGTTAATATGTGCTTCTGCTAGCAAATAGCTAGCTAAAGTCTATCAATTGAATTAAATGTCACTGAATCAAATGATATATAAATGGATGAATGAATATAATAAAATGCCATGAATAAAAATTCATGTTGAGACTACTTAAATTGGGTAATTTCAAATTACATAATAGAATTATGTTGAAGTTACATTAACAAATTATGTTTGTTTAACGTAACGTAATCTAGTTATGTGTAACCTGTTGACAAATTAAAATTAATTAAAGCCAACATATAACATTGAGAACATATAACATATAACATTTTACATTGAGAAAATTACAACATTTCCATTTAAAGATTAATAAAAAGATGCATTGAAATGTAATTTTTAAAATGTTAAATCCTATTCAAAATGTGAGAACCCTGAGCAGGTGTCTGGTAAAAACAGAAGCTTCCCTATAGGTGAGATATTTTGCTCTGGTTCCCTTACATATCCTCCAGACAGCAGGCTACGAAAACTACATTACATGTGTTTTATACATTCATCCAAGCTTTTAACAACCAGAATGGATTTGATGTTCTGATATTCCGCACACATCCATGAGAATTAGGAAGACCAAACAGATGTACAATCTGCCGAAGACTGTGTGACCTAAACAGACCTTTAAAGCCAATAAGGTTGCCAAGAGGTCTTTGAGAGTTTGCGTGTGTGTGTCACATTTAAACCAAAAAAATAAAAAAAAACCCCGAAAAGGGCTCTAAGCTGTTCCAGACAGAAATAGCACACATGATGACGTGTTCATGCTTTTATGCCAAAACTTATATTTATCTTTTTAGGTCTATGAACAAGCCATACAACACAAACATTGCACTTATACATAACCAGATATTATTCTTGATAAAATACAGTAAGACATGTATTAAAGCTATGCTTAATTATACACCGTTAGAGGCCAGTAATATATTTTATTTGACAAATTAATACTTTACTGGTATTCATTTAATGATAGACTATATATACTTATTTATTTAATGTTTCTATCAAGAAAACCTTTTTTTTCTCAATAGCTTTGTTGTACTGTTTGTACCAACACACACACTCGGTTGCACTTTGTGGGGACTCTCCATAGGTGTAATGAGTTTTATACTGTACATTGTATTTTCTATTCCACTACACACACACACACACCTACCTTTAAAAAAAACAACTCATTCCCCTGTGTATATTGCTTCCACAAAGTACCTTTGGTAATTACATCATTACCAGAACAGCTTAAAGTGGGAATGACATCATCCTTTAGAGCAAAAGTGATTGTGGATTCCTATCTGTGGTAGTCATCGTGATTGGATTATTAGTTTATATCTCACATTCACTCTCCTGATATTGCTGAGAATTGAATGTTGCTTTATGGTATTATGGTGCCAGCATCCATCTATAAGCTCCTTTTTTTTTTTTTTTTTTTTTTTTTACAGACAAACCAGGAAGTACATATGATGTTATATTGTGTGTCACTATGGAATAGTCACAAATGTTCATCTAAATATAGCCAAAAATGTGATGCATCAAATCTGCAGGATTAGTGGCTTGGTTATACAATGAACACACTCCTCAGTATTGACGTGTTCATCTACATCAGAATTCGTTCTAGACTCCCAGTCTAAGCACAGAGGCAAGCTTCACTGTAGCTCATTTCTTACTGGTTGAACTGATAAAGCTCACCCCGTGTTACAACACCCCCTATGCTGTGTGTTACGAGGAAGAAACACTGCAGTAGAGTTTCTATTTTTTGTCTCTCGTCTCTTTTCTAGATGGATCAGTGCTTGTGGAATTGCTATTTCTGTTTCACTGGGCATGCACTCTGAAAGTATATGGCACGTCTGAATTGTTCTGAGAGTGTGTGTGTGTGTGAGGGAGAAAGAGTGTAAAAGAGGAAGTAGTGGCAGCACTCTGAGCTTTGTTTTCCTTCTGCGGCCTCTCGACACCCACATGAGAGCATCACTCATCTCTTCCAGTCACTCTCTCTCCTCTATTCTAGCACTTTATCATGGATGAATATCCATTAATCTTATCAAGGCAATGCACACCCAGTAGAACTATATGAAATATAAGTTGCAAGCTTAAAAGTGATGGGATATTGATGTACCGATCCACTGCAGGTAGTTAAACAGATTTATTGAGCCTTGAAGACACCAGCAAGAGGGATAGATTGTAGATGAATCATACATTGAAAATATCATGAAAATATGATTTTGTAAATTGGAGATAAAACAAAGAAAAATTAAACAGGGTTATTATAAAAAAAGGACTATTGGTGTTGCAGTCAAGTCACCTTTGTGAGTTTGTTTCTGGTCAATAGTGAAGGGAAAAAATTATATGAATCATATGATATTATTAATCATAGCATGTTGCTATCATTTATAGTTAATATATATAAAAAAAAAATGTTTCTGTATATTTAAAATGTATATCTTAACATTTTAATGACAGTATATTTATTGAACAAAAATAAATATTTTTAAAATTTATTAAAATAAACAGAAAATAGAACAAACTTTGCTAAAGTCATTGTTTTAAACTCTGAAAGTAAAAAAAAAAAGACTTTATTAATACATTTTTAAAAAATATAATTTTGCTAAAGTACATTTTGCCTTGTGCCCTGTGTGTGGGGTAAAAGCCTTGCCACCTTGTACTTTTTACACAAAATAAATCAGTTTTATGATTTATTTTTTAGCAATTAGCTATAAGCGGGATTTTTTTTCTAGTTCTAGAACTTTAAAAATCGGTTATAAAATGATGTCTTTTCAGTAGACTCACATCGGCTACATCCGGAGATGTATACTAGAAACCCGGACTTGAGTAAAAGTACAAGTGCTCTATCAAAAAAGTGACTTGAGTAGAAGTTGAAGTGCTCTTTAAGCACCACACTTAAGTAGAAGTACTAAAGTATTCAACATTTTTTGTACTTAAGTATTGCAAGTAGTTTATTTTAAAATTCACTACTTAAGTCCTAAAAGTAAAAGTACAAGTATTGTGTCATGTAATTATTAAAGAAAGCAGTCAAAGGTTTGAACTAGCAATCAAATAAGGCGCTTTGGCGGGATACAAATTTGCTTTGGCGGCCGCCAAAAAAAATGTCATTGCAGGACAACCCCTGCACAGCATTACCCTATAAAACTGGTGTGTGATTTAGGCAGCATGAAAGCCAACTTGCAACGAATGATTCGTAAAATTTCTATAATTGTAATGAGTAACTAGCAGAACCTTAAAAAATATTGAAGTAAAAGTATTAAATTCATCAAAAATATCTACTGAAATAAAAGTAGAAGTATGAGAAAAAAACAATACTCTTGTAGAGTACAGATACAGCATTTTAGTACTTAAGTACAGTACTTACTTTAAGTAGTTCTACTTCATTACTATACATCTCTGGCTACATCTTCTTTGAACTGGACCGAAAAAAATAAATAAATACTTGCAGTTCAGCGAGGGAGTCAACAGTGAACTAATTTACAGCTCTTAACGATTCAATACTTCGTTAAAAAGAACCGGTTCATAACAGTTACTGAGTCATTTGTTTGCGAATCGTGCAGTAAACATTGTTACTGCATGCAGTAAAATAAAAAATAAAATAAACAAAAACACGACACTAAAGATATAATTAACCAACGTCACGGAACATGATATCTGACTACTCTTAATGTTAGTGTTGCAAATGTTTAATTTTGCCTAGCCTTTCATTGTGAACTAAAAACTACAATGAAAATGATTGATTTTGAAAACACTGTCAGGACGTTGTGGGTGCATAGCCTATACTGCTATAATGGTTACCTCTTTTTTAGGTCAACCCCTTCCTTATCGATGAAAGAAGCCATGCCAGTCCTCTCTGCAGGAGCAGGTGAGCTGCACAAATGTAAAAATCGAAACAAACACACTTATGTATGTACAATGACGCTTATTGATCTCTGTTTACATGTAGGGTTGCACGAGACGCTTGCCCTGCTGACCTCACAGCTGCGTCCAGATGCCAATCACAAAGAGGACATGGTCTTCCTCAAGGATGTCTTCAGTGAGAGAAGTCTCAGCTACCTAATGAAGGTGTGTTGGTTTTGCATTGAATTCACTTGCAGCGTCATATGTTATAAAGTATTCAACACATGCATTATTTACCTTAGCTTATTTATCTTCGTTTTTAGATCCATGAGAAGTTGCGTCAGTATGAAAGGCAGAGCCCCACCCCAGTTCTCCACAGTGCCTCCACTCTGGCTGAGGATGTAAGTGCTGCAGTCTGTCATATCACATCACTTAAGGCAAGATTAATGGCCTTGCTTTTACAATAATATATGAAACTAGTGTTTAATGGTATCTGGGGGGAATAAGGGGACACTAAAATGCTTGATACAGCAGCTTTCTGTCACACATACTTGAGAAAGTAAATTAAATTGTATAAGAATTTATGTATCCATAATCTGAGGACAAATTTGCTGAAATGTCCCTAAAACTAGTTGGCTAAAGAAATATAAGGAATTAGAAGACTAGCTTGCTAAATGCTTTAGTCACGGTCTGCCCTTATTGATTGGCAGGTGGTAGAGGAGTTGCAAAGTGGGCCGATGAGTGTTGAGGAAAAAGAACTGCTACACTTGCTGACATCACCTCATCTCAAGGTACAAACAACACCTTCATTGTTAGATCTTCGTTAAAACGATTGGCCAGAAACGAAATGTAGTTGTTCCTATCCCCCCTGCTTTGTTAGGCGGTTTTGTCAGTTCATGACACGGTGGCGCAGAAGAACTTTGACCCTGTGCTGCCTCCTCTTCCCGATGACTTTGAGGATGAACTAGATGAGGACTCTGTGAAGATAGTCCGCCTTGTCAAAAACAAAGAGCCACTGGTGAGAGAAAGAAACAATGCCAGTTGCACAAATTCATTGACCCCGAAAATATTAGGACAGCACTGTGTTTAGGAACCTGTGTGTTTTTAGCATTATTTACGTACTAGTACTCATCGAGATTATTCACATCTACCATAAAAGTCCTTGTTTACATAATATATATATATATATATATATATATAAACAAGGACTTTTATGATATATATATATATGAAGAGTTCAGATGCAAAAGCCTCTAAATGCCATTTGAAATTTTCTTCTTTAATGATGATTTTTGTCAAACTTGTATATTCAAGTTCAGTAATTTCACTTAAATAACAGTGAAATCACTGAACTTGAATATACAAGTTTGACAAAAATCATCATTAAAAAAGAAAATTTCAAATGGCATTTAGAGGCTTTTGCATCTGAACTCTTCATATATATATATATAACATAAAAGTCCTTGTTTATATATATATAAAAATATAGGTCTAGGTGATTTTTGTCATTTTTATTAGTTTTTATTTATTTCTATTTAGTTTTATTTTTATTAATTTTTTTTGTTGTTGTTGTAATTTTAGTACTTAAACGTAATATATTTTGCCATGTTCGTTGCCATGGTGACATTTTTAATTAATGTAAGTTCTACAAGTTTTTCATCTAAAATCTATATTTAATTTATCATATCATTTTCATTTCAAATGGAAAACGTGTTTTTTTTTTTTATAGTTTTAGCTGACAAACAACAACACTGACTTGAACAACACGTAAGAAAATGTGTGCACTGTCAGTTTGACTAAAAAAGTCCTACTAGACTTTTTGAGATAACTGACTATGATTTTTTTAAAGAGATAAATTGCTCTGTCTCTCAGGGTGCCACAATTCGGCGGGATGAGTCCACCGGGGCCGTGATTGTGGCTCGGATCATGAAAGGCGGGGCTGCAGACAGGAGTGGTGAGTGACACCAAAGAATTTGTCTTTATTCTAGGTCTCATTTTACTCCATGCTGGATTCCATTATAATCATGATGCAAAGCTATTTTATCAAATATACTCCTGAAATGTGTTTTATCTTTTGTTGTAATTACCACTGAGTATAACAATGGAAAACCATTGCAGTCTTCAAAGGTTCTGTGTTCATCACTAAAACCATTGAAGTGTCTGAATATCCCTGCACCTTTACTTAGTGTGCTAGATATGCTTGTTATTTTCACCTCTGTGTTGGGCACTGGGCTGCAAGTCTGCTGCAATTGCCCATCTTTGTGGTTAAGGAGACTCTCCTGAGACCCAATCAACCGAATCAAATAGACTCACTAACCACCTGACCACAGCTGTTGCCATGGGAATATAACCCATATATGCTGTGTGTGTGGTGGGAATGATCTTGGTCATTAAAAATTCATTGAACTATGCCTATAAAGTGTATTGTGGATCAAACACAGCTGGTACAACTCGAACATGTTGTAGTAAATCTGTAAATCAGGTATCCTTCCTCTCTCCACAGGTCTGGTGCATGTCGGTGATGAACTGAGAGAAGTCAATGGCAGCTCTGTAATGCACAAGAGACCAGATGAGATCAGTCAACTACTGGTAAGGAGGACCTCCTGACTTCCTTCACATTCATTTGGCATAATTAATTATAATGATTAAAACAAACAAAACAATTAAACACATAAGCACAAAAATAACAAATTCTTCCTATGTTCTGTTCAAGGTATTTTTCTATCATCAAAGCATTTCAAGCTTGACACAATATCTTAAAGTGATAGCTCACCCAAAAATGCAAATTCAGTGCATAATTTCCTCTCCTTCATGTTGTGTCAAACCTTTATGACTATAGACCAAAACCACCTTTTACACCAGGCTATAAACACATTTTGTTCTGCTGTAAAGTGGGCATTTTAACATGAGGGTATATAGAATTGACTCTCTTTTGCAGCCTACGGCCAGTTGATGAATTGCAGTTTAAGTCACTTCCGTGTTGATTTCAAGAGAGAGACAGGAAGGTTTCCACTTGTCAAATTGACCAAATTTTAAAAATGGCTGACATCATCACTCCTTCTTCCAAAGCGAGTTTTTGTCTTACTCTGATTGGCCACCAGGGGTCACTCAATCAAAATAATAACAAAAGACGTACTTTGATGACATAGGGAAAGAGCGTGGACTCACTGGATTTGTTGTCGCTATCAATGACAACCAGCACTCTGAGGGAGAGAGAGAGAGGGAGTGTGCGCTCGAACCAGCAATACGATGTTATTGGGACACGCGCGCTCTGTCATTCCCCACATTCTCCGCTTATTCTAAGTATTTTGACAATCATGTCTTTTCGAAAAAAGAGATCAGACCTCTATCATCAGACCCCTATTAAATCAATATTCCATCTAGCTAGTATTAATAGATGTTTAAAAAACATGGTCACCTTTCGTTAATAATTACAATTACGTTTATACTATGATATCGAACAAGATAACGTTAGTGAACTGCACTTAGAGGGATGGTTTTCATGGGAAATTGTACACATACGTCACTTGCCCGTGCATGTCTCGTCATATCCATATTATATTAATAGAGAAAATTTGCTCCGTTGTGTGGTTTGGGAGGGGTATAGGTTAGTTGTCACCATAGACATCATATAGGTAGACGCCCTATCGACCACTACATCCTATTGGCACGGACGAGCCGTGGGGCCGCCATCTTAAACCGGTCATCCGCTCCCGCTCAGTGTAATCTGTTTGGCAGGTGATATGAGCTGTCAGCACATTTAATAAATCATATCTCACTGAATACCGAACTAATTTTCATGTGGGGTTTTTTGCTGCATACATGTAGCTGATACAGGACACATGGGATATTTTATTCACAAAATACAAACATTAGTCAGGTAATGTTAAATATTAAATCTTTTTTGTGAAAAGTAATTCCCGAGCGATAGTCCGCCCATTTGAGCAGGAATATGCTACACAGTGCTCTGTCATCTACTGCTGCTATGCAACACAATAGGAATACGACTGGTTCAAGATGGCGGCCCCATTTCTCAGTGCCCAGCAGCCAATAGGGCATCTAGTCTCTATATGATATCAATGAGTTGTCACAATAAGCGAGAAAGGTTAACATGGAGCAAAAAAAACAAAACAAAAAAATCACTGAACTGAAGAGAGTCTGCTGGCAAAAAGATAACAAGACAGAGCTTAAATGCGATGTATAGATGGTGTTTTTTATTTCTCAACAAGTGAGAAAGGTATTTTATTGAACAGATAAATTGCCATATGGGGCTCTCTAACAGAGTTCATACAGTAGTAAAACTTTATCTATTGTGAAGGGTAATTTCACTTTGGTTGTTGTTGTGCTGTGCTGGAATTTATTTTCAAGGAAGTATCATGTCTATTAATGGTATAGCTACAATGACGTCTTCAGATAGTCAGCTTACAATCCTTTCCATCTAAACTGACTATATTTCAAGCCAAGTAGTGAATGTTTTATGATCAGAAGGAAATCTCTCTCTCTCTCTCTCTCTCTCTCTCTCTCTCTCTCTCACTCTCACTCACTCATGCAGTTTTGTTTTTTAACCTCTAGATGGCCAAAAGTTACATAGTGTACCATTACCTTTAAAGGTGCCAAATGGGATTTAAAATCAAATCATACAACATGTTCCATACCAGATGGGGGCAGTATACCTCCAGAAATACCTCCACGGCCACGCGCTCTCTCATGTCTTCAAACAATATGGGCGAGTGCTGTGTTGCTCTGTCTCCCTCGTGCATATTAATCAAATCAATTGACGCGATAGTAAAAGGTTGGAAGACCGCAGTTTCACGTGGAGCATTTGGAGATTTTCAGAGATTAGAGACTTAATGAACAACATCTCAATACTAAATTATAAGGGCCGTCGGTGCATTTCGACGATATGGGAAAATTAAAGCCCAGGCTATTATTTCTAGTTTTATGATATTCGATTTGTTCATATTACATTTTTATCATTAGTTTGAATTAATTTGACCGACAGCAATTCCCTGATGTGGACCAAGCTAGCGTCTTTCAGAGCTGCCAACTCTCACAACACTTTTCACACACTTTCACGCCACACATTTTTGTCATGCACAGAAAAGGACACGGAGACCGATGTCAGCTCTCAGATTCTGTTCATTTTATTACGCAATTCAAACAATAAATACAGTATTGGCGCTTTACACGACAGATCCCTAGCGCACGTGAACCGATCATCTCTACTAGCTAATGGTAAAAGAACACGAACACTGTTGAAAGATACAGTATGCTACAACTTACCAAAATGTATTCCTCATGCATAATATCGACCAATCATTTTTTTTAACTCTTCCCTGAACTGAAATGTAGTAGTGGGCTGTATTTTCCACACGACTGACGTCAGGTTCAAGTACACACAAGCTGGCGCGAGCGCGACTTACTCGTGTACTGCAGTTTGGCTGGTGGTAACGTTGCCCGCCCGCATACCGCCTCCCATGGTCGAAACTGGTATTACGACACCTGCCGGGCCGGGGCTAGTAATTTAGCATGCTAATTCAGGTTAATATCTCGGCAGCACTATTACTTGTCAGTTTTTTAATGACATCATCAACCTTATTTCTTCTCAATCTTTTGATGCGTGTTGCTCATTTTTGGGATATTTTAACCTCAATTTTTACAGATGGCACCTTTAATAACAAAATGATATTATTTTAATGTTGGCGGTTTTCTCAGTAAATATTGTGATTAATTAAAGGAATTAATTGGCATATCATATACTTGATTTGATTTACCAGTTTAATCACGTGACAAAATAATCACCTTAATCATTCCTGTTTATTGTCAAAACAGATTCATTTGAGCAGTTTTTTTTTCTTTCTTAGTCTCAATCACAAGGCTCTATCACATTGAAGATCATCCCAGCAATCAAAGAGGAGGACAGGCTGAAAGAAAGCAAGGTGATTGACTTTAAAAATAGCATAAAACCTAGTGATTTAGCAGAAATCAGCCCAGCATATCTCCAGTATTTTTTTCTTGTCCATTGAGTTTGTATCTTGTTTGTACGGTGTGTCATTTTCAGGTCTACATGCAGGCACTGTTTGATTACACTCCATTGGAGGACAAAGCCACGCCATGTCAGGAGGCAGGGCTTCCGTTTAAACGCGGAGACGTCCTGCAGGTGGTCAGTCAGGATGATCAGACGTGGTGGCAGGCCAAGAGAGTGGGAGATTGCAGCCTGCGTGCAGGACTCATCCCATCCAAACATTTTCAGGAGAGGTGGGACAAATCATCAATCATAAAACACACACCTCAGAGATGTTTAGTTTGCAGCTAAATTTTGCTGTTGAACATCTTGGTTTTGCTGGTCCTCGAGTTTTGACAAAAAGACAAAATATACATAAATATAATTCCGCAAGCACTTTTGCAGTCCTGTTTCCCATGTACATACCTATGTACTTATAATAGTAAATGCAATAACTTGGTGATAACTAGGTACTAACCCCAAACCTACCCCTAAACCCATGTAGTTACCTAAAATTACCTAGTACTTTTGTAGGTAAGTACACTTGTATTTAAATATATTTGTAATTACTCATTTGCAATGATGAAGTTGCTATTTAGTACATTGAAAATATAGTTGCAGTGATGAAGAGACTCAGAAGCGAGGGAGAGCCGAATGCAAATGCAGTTTATTTATTTACCAAATAAAAACAAAAAATGAAAGACTAGCCTGACTTCGTCATATCATGAGTTTGATACTTCTCCATAGGGTTTTGATTATGAGGTTATGAGATTATTAGATATTATGAGTTTATTTGATCTTGCTCAATAGTATATGATGGCTGAAGTCAGCCCGGTACAAAATGTATTTGCCAAGGGATTTAATAATGTTTTTTCAACAGTTTGAAGATCTCCTCTTATGGTTTTCTTTCTCAGGCGGTTAGCCTTCAGAATAAAAATGGGCACTCTTCAAAACTCCAAGTCTCCCCAAAAAACTGTCTGTGAGTATTTCAGAGTGATTCTTCTTTCCTTACCGAAAAGCCCTTCAGTTATTAATCAGTGTTGACTAACGGGAGGCATAATTTGCTTGTGTGAAGTGGCCAGGTGATTATTGAGCGCTTCATGTTCACTAATCTAAAGCTGATTAGAGAACAGACACATCTGCAGATTAGCAACATGCCCCGCTCTCTCTCTCCCTCTCTCCCTCACTCACAGACTCTCATTACGTGTATTATATCTGCTTTTTCCTTTATTACTGCATCTCTTTACTGCTGGACTCACTGTGGACCTGCATGTTGTGGGAGTGATGTCCTTTATGAATAATCTCTATTTAATAAATAAACTCCAGTGCCAGTGTAGAATATTTTCCCATTCAGAGTTTGTCTGCAGTTTTGTCTCCTTTCGTCGTCATCATATATTTTCCTTTTCCTTTTACTGCTGACACCAGATGACCAAGGATGTGATAAAGGTTGGTCTTCCAGATCTGAGTTCACACACAACACACACGTATTGGTACCACAGTGATTAGGAAATTAGGCCAGTCTCTCACCTAATCTATTTTAATTCCTGGAGAGAGACTACAACACACATACTTTGGGTTTCCATGTTTGTATTTGGATGGTGGTTGAGATCACACAACCATCCAAATACAAGTACATTATGAGTAACACTTTCGTATATGAAAAAAATGAATCTGACTGACTGTAAATAACACATTTTTACAATGGCATCAGTAACTGACACCTCTTTCTTTTGCATAATACTACATTGCCACCGTTAGGTGTCAGTATAAGACAAGTCCAATATGAATAGCATTTAGACCAGTACAGAAACACAAAATTACTGACACCTACAAGTATTCCCAGTTTTCTTTCACAGATTGTCTATAGCTGTCAGGTGATGTTATATTCCATAATCTCTACTGCCTTCTCCCATCTCTTTTTCAATCGAAGGGCCTCGTTTCCATTATTTGTAGGTTATAATACACCCATTGTTTCCTTTGTGTCACACTCCACCACAAAAGCAAATCCTAATATTTTCATTCTATCACACCATCATTTACTTTTTGGCAAGTAACAAAGCCTCTTGGTTGACCACAGCCGTCATTTCAACCTGCTGAAATACCTCCCGCCCGCCCGCTTACCTACCTAAATGTTGAACCTGCTTGTGTAACTGTAGTTCTGCAGCCCTGCTTTTCTCTCCTGATCTCCTCTGCTCACTCCCTCTCTCCCTGCTTGCCTCCCTACAGAAGACTGTGACTGTGAGGGCTATTTCAATGGACAGTACATAGGTGAGAAACTGCATGCCCGCTCCTGTACCCAGGCAGCGCCTGCTGAATCTAAAATGTACTAACCTTCTGCCTGAGTGAGCATCTATTGCTGCCTGCCTCTGTGCCAAGAGCTATGGCCTGATGAGGGGAGGCCGGATTGGGGGGTATTTGGCAGCGTCAAGGAAATTTAGCTTTGACTGTGAAGAAGCCAATTTGCAGTGGTGCATTGATGTTTCTCTGGAAGAGAGACTGAGAAGCGTCCTGCTATTTTTTTTTTTTTTTTCACAATTGATTTTGCATAGTAATAGAAAGAGAATGTGAGTGGGGCAGAACAACAGCAATTTCTCCTCAGTAATCACTGCTGGGTTTTACATTTCACGCTCCTTACTTATAGTGTTGGGCCTGTTCATGGTCATTTCGCGTTTCCTCTGATCGAATAGCTCTGGAATTGTGAATGCCCTTAAAAATGCATTTGAGACGGATTGAAATCCAACCCAAAATGGTAAAATAAATATGTAGGTTAGGAAAAGGAGTAGTCAGATTCTACACCGCTGCGCTACAACACGCTTCTCCATTTAGCCCGCTGGAGATGAGTATCTCTTTTAAGCAAGCAGACTGCCACAAATTAAACTCAAAGTTCTGCATCTCATCCTGACGCTCAGCACAAATGTCATCTTCATTAAAAGTGGTGAATGCTAAATTCTCTCACTAGTGCTGATTCCGCTCTCTGCTCTTTAATCTTGAAGTCAGCTGATAAATACATTGCTACACATAGCTTATCTGTTGCTTTAAGTTATGTGAACTTGAATGTGCAAGATCGGATTTATATAATTTGCTGAGAAACATTTGGAAATTAAGTGCAAATGGAACCGTTTTAACTGGGATCAGATAGCTATCTGATCAGTAAAAAAGCATGAAGTGGTCAAGTTCGATGAGAGAAATTCCGTTAAAGGAAAAGCACGAGTGTCTTAGCACAAGATGTATAATGTAGGCTAAGTGAAATAACATTCATGCAATTTATGTACAATTGTGAGCAAAATCATGCAAGCTTGGTAAGCTTGTTTATTTATATAGCACATTTCATACACAATGGTTATTCAAAGTGCTTTACATAGAAAAAAAAAAATAATCAAAACAAATAATGATTAAGACAGTTTAGAATAAAAATATATAAAGTACAGTACAGTAAAAACAGTCGGACGAATAGTGGCACAGTGCTCATTCAGTAAATGCATACTGTAGATAAACAGAAGTGTTTTGACTCTGGATTTGAATGTGACTAGTGTAGGAACACACCTGATCTCCTCTGGAAGTTGTTTCCAGGTACGGCTGGCATAATATAGCTAAAAGTAACACAGTCTCATCCCAAATCGTCATATAACTGACGTTTTGGGACGTATTTTGACCATACGTCAATATCCGCCTTTTTAGGGCCCCCTTAAACGTCGGTAGATGGCGATCCCGGGCCGTCATACAAGTGACGCTTTACCTTTAACGTCAGTTAGGTGACGGGTTAGGTTTAGGGTTAAGTTTAGGTATGGGGTAGAGTTAGGATCCCATAACCTCATCTACCGACGTTTAAGGGGGCCCTAAAAAGGCGAATATTGACGTATGGTCAAAAGACATCCCAAAACGTCAGTTATATGACGATTTGGGATGAGACCGGGTTGCTAAAAGCAGACTCTCCGTGCTTACAGTGAACCGTTATTTCTAGTTCCTACAACATGGAATAAAATTAAAAAAATATGTAGGGATGGATTGAGAACTCCAACACTCTGACTTACAAGACAAGTAAAACATTCATAGCTCTCGGCAAAATCACACTCACATACTCGGATGATAAAAAGAGAGGAAAGGTTTGTCATCCCTCTGAGTTAAACGTCTTAGAAACATGTCTACCATGTTTCATTTCTCATTAGTTAATAATGACGCTAATCTGAGAAGCTGTTAAGAGAGTGAGAAAGAGAAGTGATATTCAGTTAATATAGTGTTAAATATTTAATTCACAGGCTATCACACTATTTAGAGAATGTGTTGCAGATGCAGAAATCTTTATAAATAGGCCTATGTGTTAGTGGGGATAACCAACAGGCTGACAGCTCCTCATCTTCACTTTCTGACACCAGTTTCTTGTGAGCTTGACAAAGTTTAGATTTGTGTGACTTTGAATAATATGATATTTGAAACAGTGGTGTAAATTTTCAGCACAGAAACCTTATTGTTCACCAATCACCTGTAATTTTATTTTATTTTTATTTATTTCACTTTTCCCAAGTGGTAATTACGCTGAAATAGCATGTGATGTGATTATTTAAATTAGTGCTTTTTTTAAAAAACAAAAAACAAAAAAAAACCTGCATTAGTTTTTTTTTTTTTTTTTGGATTGCTGTTTGCCTGACAAAATTAACGTACTAAAAAAGAGTAACTTTTTTTATTGATCATGTCAATAGTAACTGTTTAAGAAATAGACAAATATGTGACTTTGAATATGCACTAGCCTTTAAAAGTCTGTCATCAGTAAAGATATTTTGGTAGAAATAATACTTTTATTCAGCATAGACTGAAATTGATCAAAGATGACAGATAAACACAACTTTTTATATAACAGGTTTCTATTTGAATTGAATTCTGTTCTTTTGAACTTTAAAAAAATATTAAGCAGGAAAAAAACTGTTTTTAACATTGATAACAATGAGAAATGTTTATTGAGCAGCAAATCAGCATATTGGAATGATTTCTGAGGGATCATGTGACACTGTAATGACTGATGAAAATTACATTTTAAAATACATTCATATAGAAAACAGTTATTTTAAATTGTAATATATTTTCATAATACTGAATAATAATATTTCATTAGTTTTACTGTATATTTTACTGTAGTTTTATCAGATAAATGCTAACTTGTAGGGGAATAAGTGTTACGCGCAGCTCATTTAAGGCCACAACATAAAAGTGGAATCAAACACCAATGTTCGATGAATAAGTATAACAATTACCAGTAATAGCAACATAAGTCAAGGGGAAATAAAGAATTCACCAAATTTAAAGAATCTTATTGACCCAACACTTTTGAACAGTAGTATACAGACCAACAACAGGGTCAGCATGTGCAAAAATGCTGTCATTAGGCTGAAAACATTCTTAGTGAGACTTTTCCTTTGGTTCATGAGCAAATCTTAGATTACATTGAAACTATAGATGAAAATAATTGACTTTTCCTTCCTCCCCTCTGGCAGGTATAGTACATTTTACCTTGCCCTGTCTCTGTGTGAATGTATTCTTCTCTGCTGCGTTCTGCTTTATGTAGTCCTCCATCCCAAACACCCCACCCCTCCGAAACCACTGTCAGGCTGCTGCCCTTCTATAGGACACTCTGCACATTCCACCCTGCACGATTGGCTGTGCACTCACTCACTGAGTCAAGTGTGTGATATAGCTAATGTGCGTGACGGCAACTCTCAGCCCTTAGCCACTGACCTAGAATCATTTTAATAATCTGGGAAGTGCCAAAGATGACAGTGGGAAGGATTTACTGACAGCAAGGAATCCACCTCCGAAGAATATTATAAAGCACCTGCAAATGTTGTCAGAACTTGAATATGTCATTTGAATTCTGCTTATCCCTTATTTCCAACTTTTTTTTTTGATAATTTGTTGCCATTAGAAGTGCTGCACTGTTACATTTAGCACATTTTGCTATATTTAAATAAATCCTGCTGATTTGTGATGAAATGTGCAGATTTTGAGCAGGCCAACTTTTGGGGTAGTGCTGATGCAGACTTCAACAGAATTCACGGTCAGTTCTAAATGATCTTTTGGGTCAGTTGTTGAAGGCAGAGTGTGGCTTATGCACAAGTGTGAGGTGGTCTAATGCGCATTGTAGTCTCTTCGAAGTGTAATGCAGTGGCTCCCTCCTGTGGCCAGGTGTTTTCCTGGGAGTTTTACTCAGGTACAGTCCTCAATCTTCCCACCACTAACCTCCATGTCCTGATATATAAAACCCTTTACAACATTTTTCATAACATGGGTGGGGTGAAGATTACAGGAATTTCATTGGAGTCAATAGTTCAATCTATTGGTAATCACTGCTTGCTTTCAATATTTTATCTTTATCTGTATCATACAAAGTGAAAATTTGAGTTCTTGAGAGTGTAAATAGAGCAATCAATTAAATTGAACTATGATTGCACTTTTGATTGTCTTTCACATTATTATAATTATAAATACATTACAAATACAAAACTATTCAATGAATTGTGGTTAGTAAGATTAGACCAGTGTATACTTTTATCCAGCAAGGATGCATTCAATGCATACAAAATGGAAAGAAAAATTATTTAATTATTAATAAATTATTAATTATCAACTGCTTTTAAGAAATGTTTCTTGAGCAGCAAATCATCAGTTTAGAATCATTTCTGAAGGATCATGTGTATACCTTGAGTAATGATGCTTAAAATTCAGTAGAATAAATTACTTTTTTACTGTATTTTATAACTCCTACAAACTTTTAAATGGAAGTGAAAATAAATAAAACAAATAGTCTTTCCCCCTTTCTTCTCTTAGATGTGTAATAAATAATATTTTATGATTTTGTGACCCTCTCTCAGCCGGTTTAAGGAGAAGTTTCCGTCTAAGTCGGAAGGACCGTCGTGGTTCTTCGGGAGAGGCCAATGTTTCTGACCAGAATGACACAGAGTTCCTGACCTATGAGGAAGTGACACGTTATCAGCAGAGCCCCAATGAGAGACCCCGATTAGTAGTTCTCATTGGTAAGATAATATAAAACATAATATTATTAACTACAGTTTTGTATTCTGTGTGTATTGTGCAATGTGTATTGTGCAGAACTGATTAACGTTGACGAGGGCCGGTGGTCTACGAAATGTCCCGATAGATTTTTTGGTCCCACTCCACTCCTGATGTACATACATTTTTAAAAAATGAAAATATAATAAACTTTGCAGGATTTCTGATGTTGATGACGGTTAGAACGCGTCACTGCCTGTGAAAAGGGTCCGTTACCACTAACTTTTTTACCATGACTTTAGCAATTCCAAAAAAATATACCAAATTGGGTATTATAATTAAATGCAAAGACTTCATCCTTAAACTAGGCTGGAGCTACACTATTCCTTCCATAAACCACTGCCTGTATCAGTATTAAGATACAATTTGCCAACACAGTTCACTTCATCCCACATTCTGATGATACACTGACCTCTAGTGGCAATAATGATTTTACTCCGCTTGTCTGTGATCTAAGTGATCTTCTTCTGAAATACTTTTTTCTTGTACGTTGCACTTAGGCTACTCAAAATGCTCTGATTTAAACTTGCTGCTTATCTTTGTGCAGGTTCTCTGGGAGCACGTATCAATGAGCTGAAGCAAAAGGTCATTGCAGAAAATCCCCATCGCTACGCTGTGGCTGTGCCCCGTAGGTCTTGTCTCATTTCCTATTCAGAATAAAAAGTGTTTCCTGATAAATACACTAGCTACATTATACACACATAGTTCAAACCATTAACATTGTTCACTCCCCATCATGTTCATCTTCAGATGAAACAAAATGCAAATTTTGAAAGAATATCGTGGCCTATATATATATGAAAGTGAAATAGGACTTGTGCAAAAACACAAATGGACCACTTTGATGATATATTTATGGTCCTTTTGCATTCTTTTTGAAGCTTGAACGATTCTGTTCTCATTATAATTGCATGGAAAACAGTCTTTGGTATGTTTCTTTTTGTTTTTCGCACAAAGAAAAGTCATGCATGTTTGGAAAAACATAAGGGTGAAATGATCAACTATCCCTTTAAACCACATGACATTTTTGGCTCTCTGTCCTCCATCACAGACACCACACGGCCCAAAAAGAGCCATGAGAAGGAGGGAGTGGAGTACCACTTTGTGACTAAGCAGGCCTTTGATGCAGATGCACAGAATAACAAGTGAGTGCTGCTGTGATGTGGTCTTCTTGTGCTGCTGCTTTTCTACTACATGTACCATTTGAAAATATATTGTCCAATTATCATACCCTTTTTTTGTCTGCAGATTTATAGAGTACGGAGAGTATAAGGAGAATCTGTATGGGACCAGTATAGAGGCCATTCGCTCCGTTCAAGCCAAGAACAAGATGTGTCTGGTAGATGTACAGCCTGAGGTAAATAACAGTAGCTTTTACAGTGGGTGTTGATTCTTTATAATTGACATGGAAACAGCAAAACTATTCTCTGATCAGCTTAAATTATGCACAAAAGCATATGTCGGTAACACTTTAGGGTTCAATTCTCACTATTAATTAGTTCCTTGTTAGCATGCATATTACTAGGAAATTGGGTGTTTATTAGTACTTCCAAAGCACTAATGCCTTATTCTGCTTGACCATATTCAACATCCCCTAACCGATACCTAAACTTATCAACTACCTTACTGACGGAGTTTACTGATGCAAAAATCATAGTTAATAGTTAGTCCATAGCGACAATTGAACCTAGGGGTGTGCGATATCACAATTTTTGATCATGGGCAATTAAAATGTCTTGATGTAACTAGTGCAAAATGCCTGTGCAAAATAATTGTGTGTTTTTAGCAATTGTTGGTTTGGTGCTTTTGCATTTGTGCAAAACAATTGCAATTGCATTTACTACAAATGATTGCCGTGAAAGAGACTGCGTCGCGACCAGGGAGCAAATCTGCTTTAAATATAATATTAAACAGCGTAGCTGACTTACAGATTCAGTTAACAAATGAATAAGAATGTTAACTTTTAAACCACAAACCTCTGTAATGTTAGAATGTTTAAATGTTTTTTAAACCACAACTTCAATGTGTGCTTCTATTACAGATATATTTACTGATATCTTTTGCATTTCTAATCCAAACAACGTCAAACTCGGCAGTAATATTGTATAGTTCAGTTGCAGTTCTGACGCCTCTGTCCCAACATACTGTACAACGCAATGTACAGGATACTGCAATTCACAAAAGTTCATCATTTGCATGTGCTTTAAAGCCTTTTATTTAAAACATTTTCAGTTTCCGTGCTGGTGTGCATGTCGGTGTGTCTAGCAAGTGATAGCAAACAATTGAAAGAAAATTGTGTAGATCCGGTCATAAAGTGACAGGAGCCTAATAGTAAACATGCAGCCACTTGTCCTTAAAGGGGTTGTTTACCCAAAAATGAAAATTCTGTCATTATTTACTCACCGTAATGTTGTTCCAAACCTGTATTCACTTTATTTTGTGCTGAACACAAAAGAAGATATTTTGAAGAATGTGGCTAACCAAGCAGTTGCTGGTCCCGATTGACTTTCATAGTAGGAAAATATCAACTATGGAAGCCACTGGGGAGCAACTGGTTGGTTAGCCACTTTCTTCAAAATAACTTTTATTTGCAACAGAATAAAGAAAATTATTTGGGATTAAAACAATTTAAGATAGTACATAACAATTTTCATTTTTGGGTGAACTATCTCTTTAATGTTAATAAAAAAAAAAAAGATAAAATCACTCACTGCTCTGAGAACTTTAATAGTACCTTTAATAAGTATCAATGTATAATACATAAATATATATATATTTTTTAAATAAGGACATTTTAAAATAGGGACATTAAAACTTTTTTTTTTTAAATAGGGACATTAGTGTGGCGGTAAAGTAATGCTCAGTCACTTGTAAATTAGTAAAACCAACATGAAAAGGAATATTGATAAAATCGTGAATCATGTTTTTTTTTTTTATGAAAAAATCGTGATATGATATTTTTGCCACTCCTAATTGGACCCTATGTTAAAGTGTGACCCAAATGTCTTATTGCATGTTTTGTAGATTTGAATTTGTTGCTTTGGTTATTTACAATTTTCATGCATCACTTGGCCAAACGGAAGTCTTTCTCTAATGCTGACCATGATGCTGACATGACTGGTTTCACCTTCAGGTGGAGCTACTTGCCTATTACAAAAAGCATATTACAGTAGTTGTGCAAAACCACATGCAGCACTTTACCCACGATGGCAAGACTTTTTCTTATGGACATGGCAGGAAATTTGACTTAAACTTGTTCTCATGCATTTTAATGTGAGATGTTCTGGCCGAAGTTTATCAGTACATACTTAGGAGTCATAATTTAGTTTTTTAAAATGTTAAATCTCAATTAAGAAAGGGTTTATAAAAGAGTCAGATAAACAGGAGTCAGTAAGATCTTTTATGTTTTTAAAAGAAGTCTATTTGGTCAAAAATACAGTAAAAAAAACTAATATGATTACAATGGAAAATAACCGTTTTCTATTTCAACCTATTTTAAAATGTAACTTATTCCTGTGATGTCAAAGCTGAATTTTCAGCATCATTACTCCAGGCTTCAGTGTCAAATGATCCTTCAGAAATCAATGTAATATGATGATTTGTTGCATTTCTTATAATCAGGATTCTTTGATGAATTGAAAGTACAAAAGAACAGAATTTATTTGAAATTGATTTTTGTAACATTATAAATGTCTCGCTAAGTATTATTAACCCCACATTTTAAACAGGACTGTACATATATATAATAGATAGTGCCATTTAACCCTTCACATTATTGGTTTTGTTGTTTGTCCTGCCACAGGCTCTGAAGGCTCTGCGGACAGCCGAATTCAAGCCTTATGTCATTTTCGTAACACCGAGAATCCCGGAGAGTCGCAGACGCCGCAGTGCCGGCACCTCGCCAGGTGGAGGTGAACATGGGCGAATCACAGTGAGTCTCATCACAGGTTCACATCACTCAGTTCTCAAGAAACTCTGTAGCAAAAATCAGCCTTGAAATTTTGTCATTTAGTATTAATTGCGATTAAAATTGCCACGATTGTCTAGCTTTGAAAATCAGCTTTAGGTTTGTCTCACTTGCAAAATGTATGGGAAAATCACAGAATCTACAGGCACATCATCAATCTAGCTTGATGTTTATTTTTGCACACATCTTCAGACGTCTGTTTCACTTCATTCTCACTATTAATACTCATGCCCTACACTTTCCCATGTCTTCATTTTCAGGAGGAGGAGCTGCAGGAAATGCGTCTGTCTGCACAGCAGATAGATCAACAATATGGTCATCTAGTGGATCGGGTCCTGATTAAGGAGGACACTGCCAGTGCCTGTGCAGAACTACGTAGCATCCTGGAAAGACTGGAGCGGGAGACCTTCTGGGTTCCTATGAGCTGGGTCAAGGCTTAGCTAAATTTCAGACTGTTGACCAAGTAGAAGTCCACTGATGGCTTCTTTTCCTCCATACGGTGCAGTCGGATTGCACACGTCCTCCTTGGCCTGGATTCTTTCAGCCATCCGTTATCGGTAAAGGAAGGTAGAGGTCTGTGCAGAACGGATTTTTCAATCCCGCCAACACCCGCCAAAAAAATGATATATTTGATTCCGCTCCCGCCCAAAACTTTCACGTTTTGCCCTGTTCCCACAAACCAAAAGCCCGTAGGAAGAGGTCTAATTGGATTTCTCAGTCCTTGTCTGGATAGAATCGGTCTTGTTCTGGTGTTGCTCACAAACACAATGCTTCAGATCTCCAGAATTGTGCGTGCTGTTATTATTAGATAATCATATTTTGTTGATCTTGGAACAACATTATTAGACAAAAATTAAATCCTAACCATATCCCTACCCCTAAACCTATAGATATCCCTAAAATCAGAAGGAAATGATAGGTGAATAACACTGATGTAGAAGCACCTTACCCTGGTTGAAAGTCCAAACATGGCACAAACTGACATTTTGTCTCTCAAGTCTAATTGGTTGATTAGAACGTTGCTCCAGGATCAACAAAGATGTCTATCCAGGAACATGTTGTTGCAATTAGTGAAATCCGGTTGTGCCACATAGCAGTATCTTTACGCCCTCACGCATTCGGCAATTTAAAACTTGCCCCGGGCTGCACTGTTGCGTAGGGTTCCGTATACCTCTTAGGGAAAGCATAAAGAGACTTAAAGAGGGGAACAGGCCATTGAGGGTGTCTGTTTGGATACAGATTTTGTTTTCAGGCTGGGACATGCAGGCACATAAGCACTTCTATAATTTATTTTTTTAATGACTTTAGTTATTTATTATTTGCCTTGTTGTGTCATTTGATACTTTGTGGTTTCCTTATGTTATTTAAAGAGTTGCAGTAGACTGTTCATTAAAGCAATACTTCAGTTGTGAACAGATTATATTTTCAGAAAGGTATTAAATATGGTTTCCAAGTCCACTTTTGGCCATAGCAAGTGGGAAATGTGCAGATTGAACTGTGTATTTTTCTGCAATGCACAGTAAGCCTTTCCCACGCACACCCATGCAGAGACTCATTGAGCAACTGTAACTACTTCAGGTTTGAAATCATTTGAAGTTTTAATTTCATAAAGTGTTGCCTGTCAGACTTCGCTGTCTAATGAATCACAGAAATCGGGTTCTTTTTGAAGAACACGATTGATCAATGTTTTAACAGGAAAATGTTAAACTCTTGCTGTGCCAACAACTGTCTCAATACACCAAGCTTTTCTTCTCAAAGATTTTCTTCATTCGGAGGGTTATAAAATACCACGCCAAAGCACTTAAGCTACACATCATCCATGTAAATATGTAACTAAGCGTTCTGGAGTTTAGGTTTGTTAGGTGTAGATGAACCAAGACAGTGTTGAGTTGACACGGTAATACACAGGCCCTTTATTTTAAACCAGGCTTTTAAGGCGTCCTTGTTACAATGTAATTATACATTTAACCCATTTGTGCCCAAATTTTTCTGAATGGTTTCATGCATATAGTCGTGTTAATAATGTCCTATGTGAACATGTTCTGCATTTATTTCCTCAGGTTTTTTTTTTTTCTTCTTGAAAATCGTATTTTAATGTGCGGCAACTATAGTTGCCGGTGGGCAAATATGTTGTATGAACCCCATCAATGTTAAATATGAATAGGAGGAGAACATTTTGGCATCTATCTCAAAATAACTGCTTTCAACAGATCAATCTTTATTCATAAACAAATTTATTGTGTATAAAAGTCGAAGAATGTTTGATGCGAACCCAAAAAGCGGAATCTATAGCTTATAATGTCTTGAATATAAAAACACAACAAACAACAAATCCGTTTGTCTTAAACCTTGTGTGCTGTTTGGGGTCTTTTTGACCCACATTTCTAACTTTCATTTATGGGGATAACATGGACAATTTGACATGGTTTAGTGTAAGATTTTTTCCAATCTTTTGGAAAATGCCGTTTTAAAAGTAACAAATTATCACTTTAACCAGTAGATGGCTGCAGAGCTCCACTATTTGCGATTTGCTATATTTGACTAAATGAAAGACATATTTTCACAAGTTTTTCCAGTTGTTTTCATATCTAGATATTATGAAATCACAATTATAACAATAAAAGTAACTTTTTGTCGAAGTTTAGGCATTTTTTGTACTGGAAAAAATCTGTTTTTCAATAATGTTATCGAATCAAATGATTTTTGTCAATGGACAAAATTCATCCTCAAAATCAGAAAGAACACAGAAATTTGGTGGCACACTTCACACAATTTTTTTGAATTATATGAAAAAAGATGTTTGAAATAAATTATAAACTCTAAAGACTGCAACTTTTCTCTTTGTAACATCCTGATCAGGTTTGGTTCTAATCATAATGTAACATTATTGAAAAACTGATTTTTTTTTTTTTCAGTACAAAAACTGCTAAACTTTGACAAAAAGTAACTTATATTGTTATAATTATGATTTCATAATATGTAGATATGCATATATCAAAAATGTAATTTGTTGCAAAGTGTATATATATGTATATGCATATTGCATAATGTGTATATATGTATAATGTATGTATATATATATATATATATATATATATATATATATAAACAAATGGCAAAATGGCAAAAAACTAAAATAACAGTGCATAAAAGGGTAAACTTATTAAACAAGTCCAATAACCTTGAATTATTAACCTTTTAACACAGTATACCCCATTTCCCCATGATATATGTACTTACAAGGCATTTGCCCACCGGCAACTATAGTTGCCGCTTGCACTTTTGACTAAGTATACAAAAAACTATAGATCTATTGTAAGATTTGTTTTGTTTAGAGGATTCTAGAGACCTTCATGATTATATTGATATATATATGTCAACAAAAAATACTTATTAGTAATATGAAAATTTGCTTTCTTTGGGAGGGTTTGTCTTCGCCATGCTTCCTGGAAGTAGGGGTAGGAAGTTGACAGCCTCATGTGACAGGAAGGAAGTGAATACCTTTTTTTTTTTCTTGAAATCCTTTATTTGGTTGTTTCCTTGCATGACATTGCGACATTCAACATGGATAACATCTAGAAAAATACTTACACAAGGAAAATGACAACTATACAAAGCGGCAACTATAGTTGCCGGTGGGCTTAAATGGGTTAAGTACTGAGTAATATTAATTAACTACATGTACTTACTATAGGGTTAAGATTAGGTTTGTTGTAGGGTTAGTTGCATGTAATTATGCACAATTTATAGTTATTACTACAGTAACTTCATGTAACTTGTGTAACAAGGACACTGTAAAATAAAGTGTTACCAGCTTTCACATTCACAATTTCTCGAGAACTTTCTACCTTTTCCCAACATATCATACAAATCTTCTTGATCCTACCTCACCTTGTTTTTGAACTGAAATCTGTCGCTTTTGTTGTAAGCTGCCATTCTTTTGGTGTCAATTCTTAATTGTATGTCATGTGCTGATCGCAAGTAAAAAAAACTAAACTTATCAAGAAGTTGCCTGTCTTGAATGTGTGCAAATGTGAGTATTATGACAAATGTTGTCTCATTACATTTGTCTATTGCTTTCAGATTGAAATGACAGTCCTTGTTACTTGTGTCTTTGTGGATTATTCTGTCAGCCACTCTATTGTGCATTAACATTATGAATATATTCTTTGCTGCAGGCAATCAAAACCTGGGACTGCGTTATCCCATTTCCAATCTCTACAGGCTATTTTTTTTCCTCTTCATGTTAGATTGCGTTTATGACAGTTTGACAGCTGCTGTCCTAAAACAGAACTGAAATAAACAATGTTAGATTTGTTCAACAAACATCTCAATATTTGAGATTTCCACAACACATGGATGAATCATTTCAGCTAATATGCAAGCAAAAAGGTTTACACATCAATCAGACTGGATGCTTGCTCTGCCAAATCCAATCTGATAGGGGTGAAAAACGAAGAAATGAAATGAAAATGAAGAACAGCCAAACAACATTAACTCAAGTAGTGTCATCTTTTAATTCTTTTAAACACGTCAAAGTAAAGCCAGGCGTTCGATCAAACAACACACCTCTAAGTGTCAGGCTTCCTTAATTATTAGTAGATCATGGTCTTTAATTGAAAAATGGACAGAAAGGCCTGGACTCAGTAAAACTTGGCTATCTTCGGACAGCTTTATTTCACAGGTCCCTGAGCAGTGATATATTTGTGTGATGGACTTCCATCCTAATTGGGCTGAGAGGGAGGGATGTGATGCTTGGTAATTGACATTTGTTTGACTGTGTGGGAAGAGCTGTTATTTGTTTGGTGGCAGAAAGATCCTTTGAAGTAATCCCGTCTCAGTCTCGGTCTCCCTCTCAAGCAATTAAGTTCTGGAACATTTTGGTTGCCCTAAGACAGATGGGAAGAAGAAGAAAAAACAATTAAAATGGGTGGCGATTGATCTCATTAGTATGGAAGTCTTGGCGGTGGATATTACCAACACAGAATTTTAATGTCATAAACACAACATTTTCAGAATTAAGCTGAAGCCAACAACACACTTGCAACCATTTAACACACACTCACAGTGTGATTAACTTCTGCAGAACATTACTACTATACTAAAAATACAAAATAGACATTCATCCTTGCAAAGTAACAATATTCTCATTAGCTGGTTTATTTATCTGCAGGGTGGCTACAGGTATAAACAATTTGACTTTTTAATACCACTTCTAAATTAAATTTAAGACCAAACTTACGATGGAAATATAAATTAAAACTGAAAATATACAGTAATATTTCCAAGTAAACACACTGTCTGTTCAAAAATATGGTGAAATGGCAATAACCAAGTGTCAATTCCGTACGTGCAGTCGCTGGAGGAGTACAGTGGAGTGAAAAGAAATGTAGAAGGCATTTTATAAATGTCTTAAAAATAATAAAGTATATTAATAAATGCTTAGATTTTATTTACTAATAAAGGCATAGAACCAGTTTATTTGTAGTGTACTGATAATAGTTTCATATAATTAGTTTGTTAATTAAACTAATAATTATAAATAATTGATTTCCGTATAAAATAGTACTACAAACACTTAAAAATAAACAGATTAGTGCCCTGTTTTGAGGACAAGAAATGAAAACCAATGCGGTATGATGAATGTCCAAAAGATGGAACTCTGTAATGGCCACCTAGTGTTTAGTAGTGTTCATGACATGTTGATATGCCTTTAAGATGACTTCTTCTATGGCGTTCGTTATAGTATGCGTAATGTATTGTTATGTAAAATGGAGGCTCTAGACCCTTCCAGAGCTGAGATCTTGAGATTTTTATAATGGCATAAATGCTACGTGGGATCTCAATATCTCAGCTCTGGAAGGGTCTATAGACTCCTATTTTGCACTCAGGTCTAAGTCTCATGGCCCTCTATCAGAATCCAGGGTTTTGAGAAAATTGGAGAAAATAATTTTTTCGCGCGGCAAACGCAACGGCGGGCCGCACTCATATTAAACTTTAATGTCAAGTGGGGGGCCACAAAATATCACCCCGCTGGCCGCAAGTTTGAGACCTCTGGTCTAGAGCCTCCATTTTTGCACTCAAGTCTAAGTCTCATGGCACTCTATCAGAATTCAGCGTTTTGAGAAGATTAGAGAAACTTAATTTTTCGGCCGAAAAAACAAAACGAAAGGGGTACCACTGTCGTTTTTTTTTTTGTGTCGAATTTTTGAGTTTCGATATCTCAGCTCTGGAAGGGTCTAGAGCCTCCATTTTTGCACTCAGGTTTAAGTCTCATGGCCCTCTATCAGAATCCAGAGTTTTGAGAAGATTGGAGAAACTTAATTTTTCGCCCGAAAAAAAAACAACGAAAGGGGTACCACTGTCGTTTTTTTTGGGGGTCGATTTTTTGAGTTTCGATATCTCAGCTCTGGAAGGGTCTAGAGACTCCATTTTTGCACTCAGGTTTAAGCCTCATGGCCCTCTGTCAGAATCCAGCGTTTTGAGAAGATTGGAGAAACTTCATTTTTTGCCCGAAAAAAAAAACGAAAGGGGTACCACTGTCGTTTTTTTTTTTGGGGGTCGATTTTTTGAGTTTCGATATCTCAGCTCTGGAAGGGTCTAGAGCCTCCATTTTTGCACTCAGGTTTAAGCCTCATGGCCCTCTATCAGAATCCAGAGTTTTGAGAAGATTGGAGAAACTTCATTTTTGCCCGAAAAAAAAAAAAAACGAAAGGGGTACCACTGTCGTTTTTTTTTTTTGGGTCGAATTTTTGAGTTTCGATATCTCAGCTCTGGAAGGGTCTAGAGCCTCCATTTTTGCACTCAGGTTTAAATCTCATGGCCCTCTATCAGAATCCAGAGTTTTGAGAAGATTGGAGAAACTTCATTTTTTGCCCGAAAAAAAAAAACGAAAGGGGTACCACTGTCGTTTTTTTTTTCGGGTCGAATTTTTGAGTTTCGATATCTCAGCTCTGGAAGGG